TCCTTCCGCTTCACAGCCTTTGGTTTTCTTCTTTTCCTCCTTGGCCTTTGGTATGCTCTCGAGTCTACTATGTGCCACGCCTTCTGTCGTCCTGTCAGTTGCAGCAGTCCTCCCTGCGTCTGGTCCGTCGATGATCCTACCTTTGGAAAAGCCATTCCGGTGAAGCTGGACCAGTGGGTTACTGGCGGCCGTGGTCGCACCCTAGCTGGACAACTCGTAGAAGAAGCGGTTGACTGGTATGCCGACATGAAGGACGTCTGGTACGATCGCGAGATCACCGATATTGACATTCACGGGCTCTCATTTGACAAGAAGCGCCAGCATCGCCGTCGTCTTCGCAAGAAGGGCCTCTTGAAGCGTCGCATACAGACATCCGAGGAGCGAGCACGGCTGGAAGCATGGAAGCGAGCCCAGGAGGAAGAACAACGACAGCAGGCAGCGAGAGAGATGGGCTATGAGATTCGAGTCGACGATGATGAGACTGTCGGAGGAGATACCAGGGTTTGGTGAATTAAGCGTCTACAATGGTCAGAGTGGTGGTTCTATACAAGCACTAAGGGGCAGTTTACATTGCTATTAAATGCATATCGGAGCGGGCGTTCAAAGATACATTATTGCACTCCTCAAGTAGTAATGATAATAGATGGTGGTGATATTCTCAGGTGCTATCAACCTCGTGCCCATATATAAACAAGTTGGGCATATCCGTAATACATTTTCCCTGTCCCAACGCCATGCGCCTGCAAAACCGGCTCTTAATCGTCAATACCACCCCATTCCTCATCTTCCTCCATCTCATCACCACTGGCAGCCTTGACCCACGGCAACCTCTCATCCTCGTAACTCTCAACACAGCGCGCCCTCACAGGCTTAACAGGGCATGTCTTCAGCGAAATAACAAGATCGCCCACGCTCTTCACAAACTTCTCAGCCTCGGGGTGCTCCAGCGCCTCCTCACGCTCCAACTCATCAACCCAGATATCCAGCGCATGCAATCTGATGCCCACGGGGCTCTTTCGCAGATCACCCTCCTTCTCAAAGGGATACTCCTCCAGCACAGCCACGATAGCCTCGACATCGCCGTCCTTCCAGCCCCGCTCGCGAGCTAGTCGTACGTGGGAAGCGAAAACGCGACGGACGAGGAGGAGGAACTTTTCAAGACGGTAGACGTCGATAGCTGTCCACTGGGCTCCGACGATGGCCCAGAAGGCGCGCAGCCAGGGGATGGCGCAGACGGGCTTGAGCGAGAAGAGGAGGTTGGCGAGATCTGTGGCGAGACGTTGCTGGGGGATGGGTCGGTCGGTCATCCATAGAGCGTAGAAGAGGCCTTTCCATAGCTTCTGGGCGTCAACGTCGGAGAGGCTTGAGCGCGAGGCGAGGAATGTTGAGAGTGATTCTAGTGAGGACATTCGAAGTTTGCGTTCTGCAGAAGTTAGTAAGATTCGTAAAGAGAGGATTGGAGGGACGGACCGCTTGAAGCGAGGTTGCGAATAAAGGGCATTTGGGATTCGTGCTCGGCCATTTTGGAGAGTAGAGCTTCAATTGCTCTGTTGGAAAGTTTATGGCGATCGTGATAGCTGGGTGGTTAGACTAGGGCTGTGGAAAGAGAAGTGTTGGTGATAGTCTGGTTGGTGTTGAAAAATGTCGAAGATGCTATGCGATGCTGGGCAACTTTTTTTCTGGCATGGATGTCGGATCTAGTGGGGGCTTCACCGAGAAGTGGGGCCGGCTCTTGTAAGGGACTTTTATATCAAGACTGAAGGGCCATGATCATGACTACAATGCAGTATGTGCCAGTATTTGTATTAAATAACCAAGAGAATATTACATATTCGTGATGCAATACGTTTTATATATTCTGAATAACAATATCGCCAGCTGCGTTGGCAGATATCCTTTCGATCCAGTCAGCCAGCCTACAGACTTCAGCTCTTGGTTTGAGTTGAGTTTTCCATATTTCACAACTCAAGGAATACCAAAGGTCATACATTCTATATTCCAATGCCTAAATAGAATAAACCCCGGCTTGTATTTGAAAGGCATTAATATCAGGCTTATTCCGCTTCATATTGTATCGACAGACTCTCTCAGCGAATGACCCCGCGCGGGGCATCCACATCGACTTGACCGCGCCCAAAATTTTGAGGTCTCCATTTCGTCACTTTTCATTCCTTCCATACCCTTCTAAACACCACGCTCTGCCTCACCGTCAGCCCAGGACTCACTTTATCAACCTCAGTCTTCAGTAATAAGGGCAAATAACTGAATATGGCATCTGCCTCCACAGACGAAGCCTCCAAGGCGTCTTCGCCTCCCGTCGCTATTGTCGTGGTCGGCATGGCAGGTGAGTTACAGTGCTGATCGTTGCGCAACCTTATCTAACCCTTCTTTAGGATCTGGGAAGACTACTTTCATGCGACGTATCAACGCTCACCTCCATCAGAATGATCAACCTCCATACGTCATCAACCTCGATCCCGCTGTGTTGTCTGTACCATTCGAGTCCAACATCGATATTCGAGACTCGGTCAACTATGAGGAGGTCATGAAGCAGTACAACCTTGGCCCCAACGGCGGAATTCTCACTTCGCTCAATCTCTTCGCTACAAAGGTTGATCAGGTCGTCAACCTGCTCGAGAAGCGCACCCAGCCCGATCCCGAGAAGCCCGATCGCAAGCCCATCGATAGAATTTTAGTCGACACGCCTGGTCAGATCGAAGTTTTTGTCTGGTCGGCCTCTGGAACCATTCTTCTTGAATCCCTTGCGTCTTCTTTCCCTACAGTCATCGCCTACGTTATTGATACCCCACGAACTGCCTCCACTTCGACATTCATGTCCAACATGCTCTACGCCTGCTCCATTCTCTACAAGACCAAGCTTCCCATGATTCTCGTCTTCAACAAGACCGATGTCAAGGATGCGGCGTTTGCTAAGGAGTGGATGACCGACTTTGAAGCGTTCCAGGAAGCGCTACGAAAGGATGAGGAATCGGATGAGCTAGGTGGTGCAGAGGGTGGCGGTCATGGTGGAAGCGGATACATGGGCAGCCTGCTCAACTCGATGAGTCTCGTGTTGGAGGAGTTCTACGCGCATCTGAGTGTTGTCGGCGTGAGTTCGCGACTAGGTACTGGTGTGGATGAGTTTTTCGAGGCCGTTGAGGAGAAGAAGCAAGAGTTTCTGCGCGACTACCTCCCGGAGCTTGAGAAGAAGAGGGCAGAGCGTGAGGAGGCAAAGAAGGCTGCACGAGAGAAGGAGCTAGACAAAATGATGAAGGGCATGTCAGTCGGTGGTCTACCAGTCGCACAGAAGGAAGAAGACGAGGTGGACGTTGCCAGCGACGACGACAATGATACTGACTCCGACGAAGAGGCTCAGAAGCAGAGTCTCCAAGATCGATACTCAGCCGCCATGGACGATAACGAGGACTCGGTCATGAAGGATGCAAGTTTCGCAAAGTATCTCTACAACCAACAGAAGCAGCAATAAGGGGAAAATAGCATATAGCGGCGTTTGGGGTTTACATAAGGATCTTGTCTAGTTCACGGTTTAAGTTATGCAGGGTAGATATCGCAAGGCGACTTTGAAGGAAACAAAGAAGTAATCAATCCATCACGCAGACTGTAACTCGTCACACGCAAATCGTGTCGCATTGTCTATTCTTTCATTCGACGTAATTCCCAGACCCCTAAACTCCCATCTCGAAATATCAAGTTTGCCACAACACCTCTCGTCTTTATGCTTTGCAGGCTTTTTTTTCTTTGGTATAAAAATCATCGTCGGTATGTCTATCGGGCCTCGAACTGAACCATTCTACAATAACGTTAGTCTCGATCCGTCTCAAAAAACCACCAGTATCGCATAACATACCGTTTGGTGCGCTCCTTGTAGAGAACACGGCCGGCGCAGTGAGGGCACGCGACGGTGGCATCCTTTCCGAGGGTGACGCTGCCGCCGCAGTCGCCGCAGATATAGGACATAACGTGACGGACTTGGTGGTCGTCTCGGGTGCCGCCGCGCTGACCGGCGTTGGCGGTGGGGACTTGATACTCTTCACGGGGCATTTTTGAGGCTGTTGGTTTGGGTGGTGGTTGGGTTATGGATGTCTTTTTGGTGGTGAGGAAAAGATTGGAGGTGGCATTGGTCATGAGGGCGGTGATGGGAAAGTTTGGACGGCAGAATTGGGCGGTGAGTGTCCTGGTGGGAGGTGAGTGGGTACGTACCGTTTTGATAAGAACGGCGTTTATGGTGATCTGGGCGTTAAGTGCTCGGCTTTGTTTTTATGGCTTCTGCTATGTATGAGAGGTCTAATGTAACTCGAAGTGATGATATTCGATACGGTGTCTTCTTTTCGTTTCTGCTCATATGTCGTCGCTGATGATCATCTCCTTCGTGGCAGGGCTGTGTTGTAACCAAAGCACGACTATTTCTCGGCGATGCACTGTCCCAGGGAGTGCTTATATCACCCAAGTATAGCTCAGATAAGGACCTCTTTATCTTGTTCCCGTCTATAGATAGTATGCAATGCATCCTATTCTCATGGTGACTTGTAAGCACAGGCCAGTGACTGTATCAGAGTACAAGTTACCCTTAACGATAAGCAAATATTTCTCAAGCTCTCCCATGGTTCAATCTTGAGATACAGTGCCCACGCAGTTTTATGACAAGGACATGGCTCAACACTTCTCTCATGCTGACCTCAAGCCGGTGAGCTAATGTTGAATAAGAAGCAAGCGTTCCATTAGCGGGCAGTTGAAGTACCCCACAGAGATTAACCTCCACTAGATGCACTAAATTAAACACCCCAGTTCCCGATCTCCAGTTCCTGGCAAGCCCCGGTCCATCATCTCAACCTCGGTACCATCTCTTCACGCTCATGAACTTGGAACATCATCAACCTCAACATCGACGTCATTAATTTCACTCAATTCTTTCACTCTTTACCCAAACATATCTAAGTTCACATCAGCTCATAAACCACATCTAGAGGAGATCATCGACCATGTTTGATCCTTCAGCTCCTCCGACATCATCATGTCCCTTCTGCACAATCTCATCCACCTTTGAGCCATTCGACCCCTTAAATCCACCACCATCAACATCCTCACTCATCAACCCAGAGCTTGTATCACCCGCCTCCTTCATCGTTCTCTCAACACCAGTTCTCGTCGCCTTTCTCGACATTCTACCGCTAAGTCGCGGCCATCTACTTCTCTGTACGCGGCCTCACCGTCCTAAACTCAGCGACGTGACAGCTTCTGAATCCGCGCACCTGGGTCGCTATCTGCGCGTTCTATCAAAAGCCATGGCTCGTGCGACAGGCATTGAAGATTGGAACGTGGTGCAGAACAACGGGGCTGCTGCTGCGCAGGTCGTACCGCATATGCACTTTCACATCATCCCCAGGCCGGAGATTAGAGCCAGTGGGAGGTTTAGTGAGAGCTTTACTATGTTTGGTAGGGGGAGGAGAGAAGAGTTGGATGATGATGAGGCGGTGGTTTTGGCGGAGGAGTTTAGGCAGAGTGTTGCCGCCGTGATGAGAGAAGAAGAGGAAGAGGAGAAGCAAAAAGAGAGCAAGGCTAAGCTATGAGAGTTGAAGACGTATATCTTGTTACTTTATTGGCGTTCAGCGATCTAGGAGAGGGGGCGGTTTGCCAAGTACTTGGCGTTGAAGAGATTCATAGATTTCTATACTTCTCGATCTAATACCCTTTGATGAAGATGCATCTTCATCGAATTATCACAAACCTTTACCCACTATATCTAATGAATTCCTTAGTCGGGGAAAGGTCACACCTGGCAGTTCTGAACCTCTTTCTTAGGCTCATCCAGTACCTCTATCTCACAATCTTCTACCTCCCTCATTCATGTAAGTTCTGGTTGGACTCTCAAGGCGTGACACTACTTGGAACGACAGTCTTGCCTGGTTCTAGCAATACTAACTACTAAATGTATCTTCTTTATTTGTCCTGCCATTTTTAATTACCATGTAGAATTGATCAAGCTCATCCCAACCACGGAAAGCCCTGCTACGTATGCCTTGGCAAAAGCTAGACACCATCTTCGTTTCGAAGTCGATACCAGTTACCAGAAATTGCGGCCTAGGAGCTCTTGAACGTGATTATTGGTTCAATCACACTCGACTATGGTGTCAAGGTCCTGCGGGCTCTTCTCAAAACGTCATCGAGCTTATTGAGAATGAGTCCTTGGACAATACGCAAGGCAGTGAGACATCATCCTTGAACATCAGGTTTAAACGAAAATGACAAGCAGCTGAGATTAAGTATCTAACCAATCGCACCGGGCATATAGTTTGCACACTCAAAAGGTCAACATAAAGATATCCATCCTCCAATGCGTAAACTTCAGTTCTAGTACCGATGTCAAAGCAACTCCTAAACCCATTAACCGGTGACCGCTAACCTTTAACCATCCAATCCAAGCATACTTTGTTTTTTTGTGTTTTTCTAATACTTTTTTTTTAATAAATAATGATCTGATCCGCAGTTTTTTTGTTTTGTTGTTCCATGTTCGCCATCATGTCCGATCATTTGCCTAGGTACCTTACGCCAACCCCCTTTTTATCCATATCCTTTACCCATCCAGTACCTAAGAGAACTACCTGAACATCTCTAAACCAAACACCTTCGTGTGTCGGGAGCAATGCGTCCCCGGAGCTCTCGTCTTTCTCTTTCTAACCTCGCCGTCTGCTTCTCCAGCGCGCGAATTCTCTCACGAGCAAGGTCAAGCACTTCGGCTTTGCTCACGCGACGATCATTGGCGATACCGCCTTCTGTGCCTGGAGCAGGGAGGACAGCGAGAAGACGCTCGAAGTGGGTATTGAGACGCTTGCGGTATTGCTGCTCAACTTGGTTGTGTGCAGCCCGCGCTTTGACTTCCTCTGTAGTCTCGCTGGGATGTCTAGGTTGAGCAACAACGCGCTTCTTGGGAGCACGCGATGCAGTGCGGAGCTGGGTGGGATTACGTTTAGGTCCGTCTTTGTCCTTTGCCCTTGTCTTTGTTGCCGTTGAGCGCTTGCGCTTCTTGCTCGCTGGCTCCGAGTCATCGTCGTAGTCCTCATCGTCATCCTGGTTATCTTCCTCAGGCTCAGACTCAGCCGGTGATAGCTCGTCTGCCATGGGCGGCGTGGGTAGGAATGTTGCCGCCGGAGAGACGTGAGCTGGCCAGACGGCGCCGAGAGATGGGCTGCCTGTGGATAGGTCGTAGCCTTCTGAGAAGGCGGATGAGGTGCGATGAGGAGGATGGACGGGAAATTGACCCGGTGTCGTGGAATGGATGGCGTAGCCGTTGGGGGAGAAGTCTCCAAAGGAACGGTCAAGGTAGGCAAGGTCTGTTAGGGGGGAGGGGAAGACGGTGTTATCGAGACTGGGCGTCTCAGGAGACTGAAGAGGGTTCTGCTGCTGACAAGGGAGTTAGACATGTCTCTTGTGAGTTGGGCAGTTGAGAGTGACTTACTGTAGAAGCCTCGTAGGGGGCATCTAAGCTGGAGAAAGGCATGGCGGTAGTATCGATACCGTTCATCCAGTCATCGGGCATGCGTCCAAAGCGCGCAGCTCCGTCTCCGTCGCCGGCGGACTCGAGGAAAGTCGAGCTCATCATCATTGTAGGCCGCGTTTTTTTGTTTAACGGTTATCCGCAAATACTAGATGTAGCACGAGGTTGTCCTTGAACCCCGTCATCACGAGAAGGGAGTGGAACAACGATCCCGAAGAGTGTTTTCGGTTTCTCTCTATGCTTTTTCTGTCTTTTTGCTGGCTGAGGGTCTTTTTTAAAAAAAGAAGGAAGGGGGGGTTCTTGTTATAGGCAGTTAAGAAGGCGGCAGACTCGTAGTCGCGAGGCTGGTCGGATGTCTCTTGCTGTCGACAAGCCGCAAGCCATAACGTAGCTACTCTGTTTTCTGTTCCTTGTGATTTCTTCCGTTTCTCTCGTCTAGCTTTTTCTGCGTGATGGGGAGAGAGAGCAGTAGACGGGAAGACCGTGGGTATACAGAGAAGGATAAAGATTCACAACTACAAACCTGGGCTGAACAGGTCCCCTTTTATAACAGAAGTCTAGGGCACAAAAAACTCGAAAAGATTGCCAAGACCCAATGCTCGTTCGCAAAAAGAGAGAAAAATACGACCATGCATAACTACCACCAACTAATCCATCGAGGGTGGTGCCAAAGTATGAAAAGAAGCGGAGGATGGGCCAAGGGGGCATGGCATGGCATTACGACACGGAGACAAGAGGCACGGAATAATACCATAGTATGGCATGGCACATAGTTCTGGCACAGCCAGGACACAGACGGCCTCGGACCTGAGGAGCCGTGACCGGAGTAAGAGGGTGAGGGTGAGGGTGAGGGAGGGACGGGCCAATGTGATGCATCACAAGTTCAGGTGCTCGTTATCCTTCGCTTAAAGCATGGGCGTGAAGCTTGGAAGGGGAAAGATGCAATGGGTAACCAACCAATGTAAAGATTGATAACTTACACGCCTGAGTCAAGAGTATTCCGCAAAGGCCAATGGTCTACACGAGATGGTCTTGGCACCTGTCAAGGATGGGCATTCTGTTAGTAAATCCGGGCCCTTGGCTACCTAATAGCCACGTAAGAGCGTTTCTGCAAGAGTTTCGTCACAGCGTTACTGTGTCTCTGTTATAGACAGCAAGAGAGACAATACTCTTACACCTCAACTCTCACCGAGTCAGAAGAATATAATCAACCATAACCTCCAAAGTCGTGTCGTCGCGATAAACTAATACAAGAGCGGAACTTGACAGGATAAAAAAAAACCTTGGGGTGGCCTGAGTTTATCCCCAGACGCTAACAGGCCCTCTCAGGCGGGGCTGATCCCTGTAGGATGGGGTATCGTTGACTAACCTCAATCTCGTTTGCCTTGGAACAAGACTCAAGTCGTGGGGAATAGCCTCCTTCGCAAAGGCCATGTTTAGTTTTGCTTTGCGCCCTGTGAAGTTTTGAAGCAAGTGGTCACGAGCCGGCCTCAGACTCTGACAAATCCCGAAGCCCCGAGTCCAGTCGAATCGAATAGAATCCGCTGTCTTTTTGTGTTGGTAGCCTCTTGGGTAATGAGATCCGGTTGTTGAGTCACCGTGTAGTATTCATGCCATCATTCAGAGGTAATTCAGACTTTTACTGTTGTATTTTTGTTTTGCAGAACCAATCGACCGAGGTTATCATGACATGACTTCAAAGTGAAAAGCAAGATCCTGCTCTTGAGGCTTGACCTTGTTAGGTCTGCCGCATGCCGCGTGGTACAGACATTGGCATGCAGCAACCGATGATCGCATCAGACCACCCTGCAACGGCTAATGTTGCTGTATTCATTGATGATCTTACGGTAGGTACTCTACCTAGTGGAGGAAAGAAAACTCAGGACCTTGATCCTCAATGATAAAAAGACTTAGGTAAATCAGCATAAGTTTAGGATACCTCTTGCTGAGTTCATTTTGACACCATATATCAGGGTCTGATGTTTTCTTGCCTCCCAACGTCTCCTCTAGGTACATGCTCAGTTCTAAGAAACTAAGAGAATCTGGGGTAATTGATGGACAAACGTGGCCCCCGTTATTTGGTGGTGTTGGCACTCGTCAGCTAAGATCAACGTCTTGACAGTTCAACTCCCGAGTGCTGTGCTGTACCCTCGACAACTGGCCAGCAGCCATTGAGAGGATATCGTCTCTTTCAAATAGTTTGTAACTCTATTCGTTTCATACACTTCTATTCTCCCTCAGGTTACAACTCGTTAATGCCTCTGCTCAATCCTCTCTTTCACAAGGGCTTCACAGGTTCATCCTACCTACGTACCATAAACACCCAAGAAAATATACGTCTCCTACGACAACACCCCCTATCAACCCCAAGAATAAACATCATGACCGTCAGCCAAACCCTCAACCTTCCCTCAGCCCTACCCGTTGCGGAGTCCCCCATGCCTTCTGAACCAATTACAACACCATGGCAGGGGTTTTGCGTCTTTTTTTCATGACATCCCCCCTGGGGGAAAAGAGAACGTCTCGATGTTTATTTCCAAAAACCTTATCTAAATGGGTAGATCGGTAAGTGGACACTGCGTGCGTGGGTAGATCAAGATTAGGATCAAGATCTGATCTGCCTTGGCTAGATCTGTGTGTGCTCGGGTGCATGATCATGAATATAATACTGACTTGTTAGTAAAGGGGATGATAAAGGATTGGTACACAGGGAGAAGGGTGTTATCACGAATAAATGACTTCACAAACTCCATCATCACCCATATCAACCTACACTCAACCATGGCACAACTCAGAGATAGTGACACTCCAAGCAATAATATCCAGAAATAATTCAATGTGTTGAAAGATATATGGAGTAAAAAGGGACGGATTGGTATACGATACACGAGTCGCCTCGTAGGTATTACTCGTCACCACCAGCTGTAACCGCCTTGGGCTCTGGGGTCTCAGTAGCAGCAGCAGGCGCCTCAGCAGTCTTGACGCCGTCCTTGGCTGGAGCGGAGACATCGGCAGTGTCTTCATCGCCCTCGGCGTCCTCCTCGTCGCCTTCAGCTTCAGCGTCATCGTCACCCT